AAAGTAATAGCATCTTCGGAGAAAGACTTGTGATCTGTCTTCACAGCAGGCCCGGCCAAAACGTTGTATACGCTTATTTTCATAATTCATTACCTTAAGCATTCATTCATATATATAATTCACTTATCTTCAAGATAATTTATATTTTTACTTTAGTCATCCTTGGTAGAGTTCTCGATCAATTCAAGTTACTGCACGCTGTCCTTGAGGATGTTTTGCAGTGCGCTCAGCTGAAGTATACCACTGGCGTCGTTGTTTCAAACTTTAAGGGTGCCAGCTCCATGAGTATAAGAGAAGGGTAGCCTGTGAACTAAAATGTTTAGAACGCTCGTAGGCGTAGCTTTTTCAGACAGCAGCTGAAGCTGAAGTCAGGCGGTCAGGAACAATGTTGCGAGGGTCTTTGGTCCTTTTCGAGGACCATCATGCACTGTAATAAAGTCATAAATTTTATACAATTGCTTCTACAAACGCACCTGATGAGCTCCCCTCCAGTCCCGAGGCGGCCTCGGCTCAGAACTACAACGGCCTGGGGCTGATGGTGCATAGAGGAGGCAACCTGTCATGGGTTGCCATGCTGAGAGGGAACCTGCCGTGCAAGCGTGGAAAATTACCCTTTGCTGCAATCACGAACACTCTATACTATTGTTAAACATCTCCCTGGCCCTCAATACCATGCAGCAGGAAAGGAGAAACACATGTACGAACATCGCGCACGTGAAGTTACATTTCGCTATTCTTTAGACGGGTGACTGTTTTCCCACAATATGCTTTAACAGGGCGAGAGTCAAACTGCCATTACTGCATTACATATATTCCTACATTCCGCTGCACTATCACATTACTTTACCTCTAAATAAAATGTTATTTTATTCGCTGCTGGTTGCTGCTGGCTGTTTTCAATCAGACGGCACTTGCAAACGATTTGTATGTGTATGTTTTGGGTTCCTCTTCACCATAGCTCAGCAGGTGAAGCAGAACCAAGAAGGCCGTATTTCGTTTGTTTCTACTCACAAATGAAATGTTTCTGATAACGCAGTTGCGCTGGACAGTTTCATACGAGTAAGTAGAGTAATCTTATCGTGTAGTGGAATCAAAGAATATAAGTGATGTAATAGTGGGGGAGGTGGTATGCGCAACAAAGTTTCAGTTGGCCGAGAATTTCACAGCTGATAGATCAGCGGCACTGTAATGGGTATCGGCTTATTGTATAGAAGAAAACAACAGATGAACGATTGTGAAGGGTTTGAACTTGCATATATATATATATATATATATATATATATATATATATATATATATATATATATATATATATATA